CATTTAGTAAACATAAATGAATAATGCAAACCTAAATAAATTAATGGTCTCGAACACAAATTTTGACAGAGAGGTTGGGACGAAGTTACACATTAGAAAGTTGTCAAATTTCATTCAGTAATTTACATATCCATGCTAGCTTTTATTTATAGCGTGAATATCCACCGTCATCATCAGATTATTAAGTATGGAGATTGCTTAAAGTAAGATCAACAAGATCCCCTGTACAAATCGAAAAAGCACAGGAAAGTAAAGTCTGTTCTCAGAGATCTAAAACACACTGATCAAATCTACTTCCCATAGTAGGTAATAAAAATGAAAAATGCCTAATTAAGGACCTTTCGTCTCCTGGATTATGTACTCATTGCTGCTTGTTTTATTTAATAACTTCATTTAATGTACCAGGACATATTTTCTGGAATCATTTTTTTCTATTACCTATAAAGTCTTCCTTTCTATGCTCACACTTTTTCATGGAAAACTCTTTTTTCCTACTTAATTTTACTAAACCTACATGACCACAATGTGAAGCCCAATTGACCTTTGAAGTTTGGCACACTTAGATGTAAAAAGGAACACAGGAAGGAGTTAGGACAAGTAATTATTTGTTGCATGGACATAGACAAGAGTGAGAAAAGCTACACTAATACTACTAATAAAAAAAAGCAATGATAATAACTAATGACATAGTAAAACCTTGATATAACTGACTAATTCAGCTGAGGGGATGTCTGTTTAAACCAATATCCCATTATATAATAAAGTAAGTATTCTGAATGTGTATGTTAAAAATTTGACAATTTTGTTAGTTTACCTCTTTTTATTTATGTAGACACATTTGTGTAATTAAAATTAAGTATGTATGAAAAGTCTAGTTTCACAGAACAGTTTTCTATATGTATCACTGTAATTGTAAATTTGTATTGAATAAGTCTAGTAAATGTGTGCATTCACCAGTCACCATGAGTTAACAAATGCACACAGCTGGGGTGTTTACATATGGGCTGGCATGTGTTGAAACTACTGCAGAAAATCAACCACGTACCAATAGAACCAATTACCGCATGCGATACAGTGTGATCATATGCTCATCCTACACCAAACACTGTTTACTAGCAGTGAAACTTGGATTTAAATATGTAGACCAGGGGTCCTCAAACTTTTTAAACACCGGGCCAGTTCACTGTCCCTCAGACCATTGCAGGGCCGGACTATAGTTTAAAAAAAAAACTATGAACAAATTCCTATGCACACTGCACATATCTTATTTTGAAGTAAAAAAACAAAACGGTAACAAATACAATATTTGTATTTGCATGTGGGCCCGCGGGCTGTAGTTTGAGGACCCCTGATGTAGACTATAGTAGTAGATATGTAATTTTTATTTCTTTGGTGAAATTACTACAGTACATTTTTCTCAACATATGGCCTATTCATTAAAATTTGTTAAAAATAAGAGTGAATTAATAACAAAGCCTAACCTGTTGATTTAATTATAAAGCAAATCATGGTTTGAAACAGTTAAGTTTAACACGATGTTAATTTTCACCTACGACATATGGACGAGAAATTTTGTTTGTTAAATTCAAAGTCCATTAAGTCGAGGTGGCAAATCGAGGGTTTACTATACAGCATCTACTATACAGCATTTACCGATGCTGCCTTCTTGATGGGAATCCTTGGCTTCAATTCCTTATTTGTAGAATTGGATTTCCTTTCCATCTTAAATAATAAATTATTTGGTCACATTCCTCAAAAGAAAATTTAAAAATACTTCCATATATTATTATTTTTCTTATTGTCCTTAATATACCGGGGTGGACAAAAGTAGGTTTATAGAAGTGAGTGCAAAATTCTGAGTTTATTCTTACACAGTTATTAAAGGTTTTACTGTACTCACATTCTCCACAACCACATCATAAATACAACTAAGAAAAAATGGGAAACCATAAAAATATTAGAGGAATCCACAGGCAGCAAAATCTCAGACATATGCCGAAATAATTACTTCACTGATACAGGTCCTAGGGCAATGGAAACTAAAGAGAAAATAAACAAATGGGACTACATCAAAATAAAAAGCTTCTGTACAGGAAAAGAAACCATCAACAAAACAAAAGAAAGCCCACTGCATGGGAGAACATAATTGCCAATGTTATCATTGATAAGGGTTTAATCTCCAACATTTACAGGAAACTCATACAACTTAACAAAAGGAAGATAAACAACCAATCAAAAAATGGGCAACGGACCTAAATAGATACTTTTTGAATGAGGATTTAAAGAAGGCCAAGAGACGTATGAAAACATGCTCAAAGTCACTAATCATCCAAGAGATGCAAATCAAAACAACAACGCAGTACCATCTCACACCTTTCCTAATGGCTATCAACAACAAATCAACAAATGACAATTGCAGGTGAGGATGTGGGGAAAAAGGAACACTCATGCACTGCTGGTGGGAATGCAGACTGGTGCAGCCACTGTGGAGAACAATATGGAGTTTCCTCAACAAACTAAAAATGGAACTCCCATTTTACCCAGTAATCACACTTCTAGGAATATATCCCAAGAAACTAGAAACACCAATCAGAAAGGATATATGCACCCATATGTTCGTAGCAGCACAATTCACCATAGCTAAGATTTGGAAACAGTCTAAGTGCCCATCAGCAGATGAGTGGACTAAAAAACTGTGGTACATCTACACAATGGAATACTATGCTGTGGTAAAAAAGAAGGAATTCTTACCATTTGCAACAGCATGGATGGAACTGGAGAGCATTATGCTAAACGAAATAAGCCAGTCAGAGAAAGATAAATATCACATGATCTCACTCATTTATGGCATATAATGAACAACATAAACTGATGAACAAAAACAGATCCAGAGACAGAGAAGCATCTATCAGACCGTCAAACCTCAGAGAGAAGGGAGGGGAGGGTGGGGGTAAGGGGGGAGAGATCAACCAAAGGACTTATATGCAAGCATATAATGGCCTAACCAATAGACACAGACAACAGGGGGATGAGGGCATGAGTGGGTGGGGTGGGGGGGGGGCAATGGAAGGATAAGAACACATTTGTAATACCTTAATCAATAAAGAAAATAAATGGGGGGGGGAGAAAGAACAACAATCATTCTGAACCACATGAAATCTAGCTTAACAGAAGTCCTATAACTAAGGATATAAAAAAGCCACCGACACTGGTTGGAGGGGCAGAGACACTGCACAGGCTAGTCCCACACCAACATGTGGCAGATAAAACCTCCCTAACTGGGTGAAGGTAATAGAATACAAATCTAGATAGTGCAGAGAATTTCTAACAAGATGAACCCAAAGAAATCTACACCAAGATATTTCATAATTAAAATTCAAAAGGTTAAAAACATAGAGAATCTTAAAAGCAGCAAGAAAAAAGCAGTTACCTACCTATCAGGGAACTCCCATAGACTGTCGGCTGCTTTCTCAACAAAAACTTTGCATACCAAAAGGATTAGCAAGAAATATTTAGAATGATGAAAAACAAAAACATGAACCAAAATTGCTCAGCCCAGCAAAGATATCATTTAGAATTCAAGCACATATAAACAGCTTCCAGGAAAAGACAAAATTAAAAGACTTCACGACCACCAAAGTAGTATTACTGAAATTTTAAAGGGTCTTGAAAAAGAAGCAGAAGCAGAAGGAGAAGGAGAAGGAGAAGGAGAAGGAGAAGGAGAAGGAGAAGGAGAAGGAGGAGAAGGAGAAGGAGAAGGAGAAGAAGAAGAAGGAGAGGAAGAAGAAGAAATAGAAGAAGAAAAGAATAAATTAAAAATATGAACAATAAAATATCTATACATACATACCTACCAACAATTGAATCCACCCCCCCCCCTAAAAAAAATTCAAAATAAAGGAACAAGCAGAACAGAAACAAACTCATAGATACAGAAAACATTTTGATGAGTATCATATGGGAGGAGGGTTGGGGAGTTTGGTAAAAAGGTTGGAGAGATTGAGAAGTACAAATTGGTAGTAATAGAATAGTCATGGAGATGTAAATTATAGCATAGGGAGTACAATCAGTAATATTCTAATTATGTGTGTATTTTGTTAGATCGGTCAATGTTTCTCTCTCATCGATGTTTCTGACTCTCTGTCTCTCTCCTTTCCTCTCTGTGGAAAATCAATAAAATATATTAAAAAAAAAAGAAAAATGAGAAATGATTTTTAAAGATAATAAAAATAAAAGAAAATTGAAAAGAAAAATTATATATTAATATTTATATCATGTCAATAGATACAAATAGAGACTCCATATCAAATATGATATATGTTCACTTTCCATAAAGACCTTTTGTTTTATATATTTAATGTGAAAATTTTCACAAATGTTTATGTACTAGTAGTTAAACAATAGTATCATTAATCACTAAATGTAATGAACCAGGTTCAAAAGGTATCTGTCTATGACCAATTATCATTTTTTTGTACACGCACAATCTCACACTGCCTTACAATTTCTTTTTTCTTTGAAAATATTTTTATTTATTTTAAGAGAGATAGGGAAGAAGAGGGAGAGATAGAAACATCCATGAGAGTGAAACATTGATTGGCTGCCTCTAGCATGCCCTCTACTGGGAACGCAACCACAACCTGGGTATATTCCCTGACTGAGAATCAAACCCATGACCTCTTGGTGCATAAGACAACAGTCAACCAACTCAGCCACATAGGGCCACGCTGCCATAAAGTTTCTAAAGGGCGAATGGGTGCAGTAGTCTGAGTTATTTCTTCAGCCAAACACTATTCCATTTGAACTATACTCTTTCTCTTACTTCTCCATCTTGGCCTGCTCATAACTGCCAACACAGTCTCTACTCTTCTTTTTATTTTCTCTTTTAGTGTGTACTCTGATGGTATGAGCCTGCCAGAGAACAGATTCAAAGTCAATGTTGAACACCCAGCTCAGAGGGAACAGTGATGCTTCCTGCCCGTCCTATTTTGCTCTCACCAATGGCTGTGTATGGTGGCTCCATAATGGCTGTGAGTGAGGCCCTGGTGTGTGGGAGGAACACTCTCCTGCCACTCTGGCTGGGGGTGATTCTGTTCCCATATGGATGGTTCCAGGCTGTGCTCTCCCAACACCGTGGTCCCCCAGAAGTGGTGATTCCCTTGAGGGTAACAGGCACTGGCATTGGCATGAAGACTAAAGACTGGCTCTCGTACAGAATGCGTTTTGGGGGGCGGAATCAGCTCATACACATGAAGGTCAACAGGCATTTTCTGTCCAGACACTTCCAAGTGTTTACCTACTCGGACCAGGGCGCTCTTCTTGAGGACCAGCCTTTTGTAAAGAATGACTGCTACTACCATGGTTATGTGGAGGGGGACCCAGAATCCCTGGTTGCCCTCAGTACCTGTTTGGGAGGTTTACAGGGCATATTACAGACAAATGACCTTGTTTATGAAATAGAGCCCAAGAGACGTTCTACCACCTCAGAACATCTCATATATAAAGTGGACAGTGAGGAGACACAGTTGCCGCCCATGAGATGTGGAGTAACAGATGAAGAAATAGCACAACAACTGAAGTTTCCAGAGAGTGTTAATTTCACTTTGATGCAGAGTGGGTATGAAGGCTGGTGGACTCACAGGCGGATTCTTGAACTGGCAGTGGTGGTGGACCACTATCGCTATCTTCATCACCAAAGTAACACCACAGCTGTGCAGTATGAAGTACTACTTGTTGCCAATAAAGTAAATAACTTTCTGAGTTCACTGGATGTTGATGTGGTTTTAATGGGAATTGAGGTCTGGACAGAAAAAAATCCAATTAAAATAGATAACATAGTAGATCTCCTGGAAGAATTTTGCATTTGGAAGCAAACTAGCTTTAACAGCCGCCTTCCACATGATGTTGCACATCTTTTTGTAAAACATAGCTATGGTATTACTCTTGGCATTGCCTTTATTGGAACAGTATGTAACTTTACATATAATTGTGGAGTGGAAAGTCTAATGTACAATAATTTGTATATGGTTGCATACACTATGATCCATGAGATTGGTCATAATTTCGGTATGCTACATGATGGACCAACTTGTACATGTGGACATAAAACTTGCGTAATGTTTCCAGGTATATCAGGTACAACAAGATTCAGCAACTGCAGCTATGCTAGCTTCATCAACACCACAGCAAGTCAAAACTGTATGTACATTTCATCAAATACAGGGAACATCTTCACACTTGCACGGTGTGGGAACAATGTGATTGAAGAAGGAGAAGAGTGTGACTGTGGCGCTTTACATTTGTGTATAAATGATCCCTGCTGTGAGTCAAATTGCATTCTGAAACCTGGGGCTGCTTGTGCTTCTGGGCTCTGTTGCAAAGACTGCCAGATCCTGCCCACAGGCGAAGTTTGTAGACAAGAGGAAAATGACTGTGATCTCCCAGAGTGGTGCAATGGGACTTCCTACCATTGTCCAGAGGATGTGTATGTGCAGAATGGGGTGCCATGCAAGGGCGGTGGCTACTGCTATGAAAAGAGATGCAATAACCGTGAAGAGCAGTGTAGGAACATTTTTGGCAAAGAGGCCAAGAGTGCAAATCAGAGTTGCTACACAGAAATGAACACCCGTGGTGACCGTTTTGGGAACTGTGGTCTAATGAACGCTTCATACGTAAAATGTAACAACTCAGATACCTTGTGCGGGAGGGTTCAGTGTGAAAACGTGACAGAACTTCCCCTTCTGAGAGATCATTCTACTGTGCATTGGACTCAGTTCAATGACATCACCTGCTGGGGTACCGACTACCACTTCGGGATGACCATACCTGACATTGGTGATGTGAGAGATGGGACAGAGTGTGGGGAAGAACGTGTCTGCATCCAAAGGAAGTGTGTCCATAGGTCACTTCTGGTAAATAATTGTTCACTTAAAACCTGCAATCTGAAAGGAGTCTGCAACAACAGACAGCACTGCCATTGCAACTATAAGTGGGACCCTCCCTTCTGCCTGAAAAGAGGCCATGGAGGTAGTATTGATAGTGGGCCACCCCCTGGGAGAACAGTGAGGCAAAAGACCAATTACCTGGAACTACTTTGGTTGATTCATTTAATTCCTTTATTATGCTTGTTAATTTTGGGTTTTCTGACACGCAGAAGAACAGAGAAGAGTGAAGAGCAGAATGTGGCACCTTCACATGAGTAAGAAGATCAAAATGTCAAGACTTTACCTATGGTAGAAGAGAAAGATATTGCAATATCATCTGAGGAAGAACAGCAAAATGTTCCACTGCATTACAATTTTTAAAAAGACGCCCAATTTCCTATGTAGTAAATTTTAGTCTCCTGGCTGTAGAAATGTTACAGCATGTGTCACAGACCATTGACATAATGTCTGAGAATTTTTATTATTTGTAATCATAAAACATTGGTCATTAAACAATTGGCAAAATATCTTAACTCCTAGAACATTACCATTTTTCCTTATTTTATAATTTTAGTGTTTAATTTTTCATGGAACTAGTCTCTGTGTTTCCTGAGCAAAAGTACAGCTAATGGATACTTTGTGTGTTTTTAATTTGCTGTCTCAGTTCTATCTATCCTTCCCATTTGTACTCTGCTTTGTCACATAGGGAATGCAAACATAAAAATTCTTCTTCGCTAGTTCTCTCATTATTAGTTTCTACAACAGTTGACAACTAGAAGGAGACAGGAAACTTGGGAAATTTTCTGATTACTACTCATGCCAGTCCTGCCTCATTAACAGCTCTAGTCTTTAAAAGATAGTAACTTTCAGTCTGCACATTATTACTATATATAGTACACAGCTGGGCAAAAGTAGGTTTACATTGTGAGTTCACAAAACAGTTTAATTTTTTAAATAACAGTAATGATTTCATTATTTTCTATACCAAGGACTATAAACCTACTTTTGCCCACCACTGACAAGAACTTGCAACTTCCTCTGACTGGCTTATTTCACGTAGCATAATACTCTCCAGGACCTTCCAGGCTGTCTCAAAGGGTAAGAGACCCTTCTTTCTTAAACTGCATAGTGTTCCATTGTGTAAATGTACCACAGAATTTTTATCCACTCATCTACTTATGGGCACTTCACTTTGGGTCGTTTCTAAATCTTAGCTGTTGTAAATAGATCTGCTATAAACACAAGGGCACATATATTCATTCCGATTGATGTTTCTGAATTCTTAGGATATATTCTTAGAAGTGGGATCCCTAGGTGAAATGACAGTGCAATTTTTTAAGCTTTTTGAGGGAATTCCATATTGTTTTCCAAAGGGGCTGTACCAGTCTGCATTTCCACCAGCAGTGTACTATTTTTCCCTTTTTCTTTTTTGTTAACTCTTTCAATTTCCTAATTTGTCTTTATCTAATAATTAAAATGCTTGCTATTTTATTCCAGCTGTTAGATTTATCTGGCCCTCATACATTCAACAATATTATTAATCTGAAAGGCACTACATGCTTTGAGTACTCCCTGACAACTTACCTAGTGGTTAGTATTTTCTGGATCCCAGGTAAACCCCCTAAAATATCAGAAAATAAAGGGATTAATTCTAAAAGTCAGAGCTCAATTATTTTATCAGGAAATCGTACAAACCATTGCACGGTGATATTTTTACTTCTCTCAGGTCGCCATTTTACTACATATTGGACTTCCTCTGCTGGGTTTCACATTGTTGACATATAGGTTTTAGGAGAAATAAGTAAAAGGAGGTCTCCATGAAAAAGTGTAAATAGAGAGGCAGTTGTTGCTTTTCATGAAAGGAAGTGAGAGGAAAATTATTCAAGAGAGAGAGAGAGAGAGAGAGAGAGAGAGAGAGAGAGAGAGAGAGAGGTCCAGGCACACTGAATGAAAGAAGTAAGCAGAAACTGATAAAGCAAACAGGACATGGTAGCTCTACTCTTAAATTTTTGAGGAGCCTCCATACTATTTTCCACAGAGTCTGCACCAATTTGCATTCTCACCAATAGTGCACAAGAGTTCCCCCTTAATCTCAATATTGCTTAACTAGGCATATTCGGCTATGAAAATCCTTTGATCTATAAACCTTTGTGATGTGCTCATTTTTATACTTTCATAGAAATTTTTTAAAATAACACAATGTACCCAAAATGGACATTGTGGAAAAATAAAAAGTTTTTTTACAACAGAATCTGCTCAAATCTCTTCCCTGTGTGTTTTATGGCCAAGTTTTACTGCTCCAACCTATTGCCTTTATTAAATATGAAAATGAAAGGTATTAAAAAACAAATGGAAGAACTAAGAAAATAGTAAAACAGCCCTAGATGGTTTGACTCAGTAGATAAAGCGTCAGTCTGTGGACTGAAGGGTCTCAGGTGCATGCCTGAGTTTCGGACTTGATCCCCAGTAGGGTACGTTCAGGAGGCAGTCATCAATGATTATCTCTCATCATTGATGTTTCTATCTCTCCCCTCTGCCTTCCTTGCTGAAATCAATAAAGATATATTTTTTAAAAAGAAAAAGAAAGAAAGTAGTAAAACAAAAAGAAAAATTCTTTTAGAGAGTGAAAGTGAATCTAAATTAGATGTGTAATTGGAACTGTGGTAAAGAATGCAGAGGGGAATACTTTTCAATATTAAAAGCAAGTGCCTCTTTCAGTTATCAGAATTTGAACCTAACTAATAGCACTGATATTCTGAAGTAAAATAAAGATTGACTTGCGAAAGTGTCCTTTATAAAATGTAATTTTTCTAATGATTTTAAGATTATCCTTGTTTATTTAAATAGAGGAAAGTAACCATTATATAGTATTCCAGCAATCCTACTTGCACTAAATTCAAAAATATTAACAGAAGAGATTCTTTGTACCATTAATCAGTATGATTACCACACAGGTGACTTAATAATGTACTTATGTAATGGGAATTTCATCAGCAAAATTAGAAGAATGTGGAAGGTTTAGTAGTTGAAATAACTATCATCACACATGTGACCACTAAGCAAAATGTGAAATGAAAATTCAATAATTTTCTCACTATTTGACTTATGAATATGCTTACCAGAAATCCCAGCTGCCTAACCAATATATTAATCTAAACTTTTCATTATATTAATATTACTCTACAAATTGTGATTTCTTTTTTTTTTTTTTGGCAATGTCTGTGAAAGGGGAGGCTGAGCTTATATACAGAAAATAAGGTTAAGAATTGGATCAATATGGGGAGAACCTCAGTTCACTATAGAGGAAGTAGAAAGGGGATGAGTGGATAAGAAAAAAATAATAAATTTACAAAAAATTGATTTAAAAATGGTATAAAAAATAAAAAATAGCAAATAAAATAGAATGATAGGAAAAATAATGTGAAAAGAAATAGAAAATAAAGCAACAAACAAAAAAAAGAAAAATTTAAAAAGAAGGAAAAAGATAACAAAATAATAATAAAATAAAATAAAAAGGAAAAAGTGAAGTGTCGTTCCTTTGGCTGGCTTAAGATCCCAGTCTTCTGTACTGTCTGGGGTTTCTCAGTTTCCTGTTGCTGGGACTGAAGGCCTTTCTTTAGACCAGTCCCTGTGGACTCTCAGGGACTATTTAAAAAAAAATTTAATTCTTTGTATCATTCAGGGTGTATTCTGGGTGTGGCTGCATTGGTTGCCTGGAGCCTGGAGGGAGGGGCTATCTCTTCAGGAGAAAATGGCTGCCCAGGTCCTGGGCTCATGTATGAGTCAGTGCCAGACTTGCTGCCACTTCTCCTGGACCCTCTCCTCTCCCCAGACTCCAGAAGTCCGCGCTTTCTCCTGTACCTAAGCCACAGGTGAGTGTCTGTATCTGAAAGGTCCTATGAACTAGGTTCAATGAAGAAAAGCACAAGCCTCAGAGAGGGGAAAAACTGCACCTCTGCGAAGTCCTCTCCTGCCGGCACTGCACAGTCTGGTCAGTCCTTCAGGCTGCCCCCTCTGGGCTCAGTCTTTCGTGACTGTGGACCCATATCTAGACTCCCCTGCCACCAGCAGTCCTGTGGGCCTCCTTTCCACAGTCAGACGCTGTGCCTGTCCCAAAGGACGTGTCTGGGTGCCGTGCGGTTTCCCTCTGACCCTCTGGGCTCAGAGGTCTAACAGATCTCTCCTGCCCAGATCCTTGATTTTACCTTTCTCCAGGGGTCTTCTGCCCTTCCCAACTGCAAATTGTCTCACAAGCTGAGTCTCCTTTGCCAATTCGGGGTGGATGTTATTTGTTTCAGCTGCTCATTCTATATTCTCTGGGACAAGACTCAGGACACATCTGTCTATTCCACTACCATTTTGTCCTCCCCTTTGTCCAAGTTCTTGACATCAGGCTTCAAGACCATGGCACTCAAACTGAGCATGGCCTTCTCCTTAATGAGCACAGGCTTGGGGAGAACAAATTCATGTATATTTACTTTCTTTAATTTTATCTGTTTTATTTTCTTGTTGCAGCTTTCTATATGGCATACCACATTACAGTTCACTGTCATATCTTCTTAGACTCCTCTTGGCTGTTATTCTTTCTCAATCTTCCCTTATTCTAGATGACCTTGACATTTTGAGGTATACTCATCTGGTATATCATAGAAAGTCCCTCAATTTTGGTTTTTATGATTTTTTTTTTCAGGATTTAAAAAGAGTTAATGGGTTCTAGGGAACAGGATCACAGATGTAAATTGTCATATTTGTTTATTTGTTTATATCTGTGTTTTGCAAGATTTTTTTAAATTAACAAAACAGATGGAAAACATTGATCTATGGGGCAATTAACTATGGGACTAAAAACATTCTAGTTTCTAAGTTGCAAAATAAACACATATGGAAAACTTTGGCAACAAAATGTAAGATTAATTCTTTTCAATGAGTTCAGATTTCTGGCTTCCAGAACTTTGAGAGAATAAGCTTCTGCTGTTTTAAGCTCGTGCTGATATTTTTGTGGCAGCTGTAGTAAGCCAGAGCTACCCCTCACTCACTTTCCTCTGTGTTTGCATCTTACAACATGATATATTTGTCAAAACTAAGGTACCCTCACTGGTACATTACTATTAAGTAAACTCTACTCTTTTCTTGGATTTCCCTACTTTTTATACAAACATCCTTTTTCTAATATAGACCCAACCAAGGTACTACATTGCCTTTGCTCAGGCCATATCTCATTAGTATCCCTGATATATGACAGTTTCTTCATCTTTGTTTTTTTATGGCTTTGAAAGTTT